GCAGTATTTTTACTCTTGCCTTTTTATATTTGTACTTATGCAAATAAAAAGTCTAGCTGGTGGCATGTAATTTTAACCTTTTTTTTTTTTTTTTTTCTGGGATACAGAGTCTGATCAGGGGTTTACTTAATATAGTTATAACATGACATTTTTAAATAAAATGGCATGTGTCTGTGGTTGGCTTGTCTGCATTTCACACTTAGGTCTAGAATAAATATTTAATCAAAGGAACAGAGTTACATCTTTCTAACCATCCAAAGTCATTTTGTTTATTTCCAAAACAACACAATAGTCCAGGAAAGGTTACAGTTATCGGCTACATAAATTCTGAAATGTTATCTATAATGAGGCAGTATAGGTTTGTGATTTGGGAAAAAAAAAAAAGAAATATAATGAAGTAGTAGGATTTGTTTATAGTCTTTACAACTGTTCAAAAGCGGCCTCTGCCTCCTTGAAACCAGTATACACTCCATCTGGTGAAGGGTAGCTGGAACGGATGCTTGTAACCACGGGCGTAGGTTTGCATAGGGACCATAGGGACATGTCCCTACCAAAATTTTGGAAGGACCTATTTGTCCCTACCAATAATTGGATGTAAACAACATGTTTATAATTTACTATACGGCAGCCGCCTCTTTTCTTCTCGCAGCTTCTCTGCCTGGTAGCTGCAGCTGCCTGCTCTTTTCTGTCCCTTTCACATAGCGGCGCATCAACTGTGCTGCGCGGTTTAACTCTCTGATTATTCTGCCTTAAGTTCCGCCTTCTCTCTTTCTGATTGCGTGTTTTGTAGTCTGTATGTGCGCGCGCGGGTGCTTGGAGCGCGAAAAAAAAGACACTAAAATAAATTTATATTGGGCTACGAAACTAGTCCAAATTAAAAAATATATTATATACGCTAAAACAGGCGAAAGCTTCTGATTGGAGTTCTGTAAAGAAGCAGGAGAGTTTTATTGATTTGTGGAACTTTAGAAATGTAAGTTAACAACGTTAGGATTTCTTTTATTTTATCTTTTAATCAGATAGCCAAAGGCTCCTTAAAGAAGATCTTTTATGAAATGAAACCAGGTGAAACAGAAACGTTTTAAACGTTTCCTTTGGAGGAGTTCTGGATGGAGAATATTGACAGACAAAAACTTTTTTTTTTTTTACTTCTTAAATGCAAAATGTATACATATTTTTTACAATCTTGGTATAATTCCTGCTCTAAGTGGGTCGCTCTGTCGGCTAAAGGCACATTTTAGTGGCCCTATATTCCAGTTAACGATTAATCAATTACATAGTTCACGATTATTTAAATAATTTGTTAATATGATTAAAGCTACAGTGTGTAACTTTTAGCGACATCTAGCGGTCAGACTGCAGACTGCAGCAACATGAACATCTCCCCCCCACCGCTTCTCTCCCCCAACAGTACGGCGAGCGTTACGGGACAAAATGTCTTCCACGACGTCCGCATCACCTACCTTCTCAAGTGATGAGGTTTGTTTACATAGATAATTTTACAGATAGTATTTCATTAGTCTGTGTAGGGTATAGATTTCATGTAGACTTAAGATAATAAATATACCCGTTATTTTTTCTACATCGTTGTGACGTTTTGGCGATCTCGCAATCACTAGTTTGTTGGCTCTGCGCTGCCGTAGCGCAAAGATGTCTGCCTCCATGGCTGCGAGACCCGCTCCTATGTAATTATAAATAACGAATTCTAAGGCAACGCAAATATTAAGGTTAAGAGGCTGAGCTCGTAGATGATGATAAATAACATAGTTATGTATAATATATTACATTTCTGACTGTATATCCCTGTAATTATTACACACTGTAGCTTTAATTGTTTCAGCCATAGATAAAATACATGAAATTAGCTACACAGATGTACAACTTCTAATATTAATATTTTAAATGCTCAGTGTCAGTTCCTCTTCTAGTTCCAGTGCACATGTAAATACAATACATTTATTTTCCGTCCCTTGAATGTATTATTTTGCATGATCCAGAGAGAGCATATTAGATAAAAAAAAATAAGAGTGGGTTTACCTCTGCACAATTCTCTATCTTCAGAAGAAAACACAGGATAAATCCACATATTATAGACTATATTTGGTTAAACAGACAGTCTTAGTCGCAGGTAAATTTAAATGCAATCCTTTTCCAAGTGGAAAAAGTCCTAATTCCACATTCATCAGAGCCAGTGATGCTTTAAATATTGATAAACAGCATCTAGAGCATGTAGTGCTTATAAGATTTGTATTAATGTAGCAAGAAATGCTGCTGTTCTCTTTTAACAAAATGAGCCCTGAAGCTCACATTAAAGGAATAGTACACCCAAAACATGATTAGCCTTCATTTTCTACTCACCCCCATGCTGAACAACACTCTGGAGTACTTTTATGATATCTCAAATGCATCTGGAGATCTGGGAGGCTTCTTGCTGTCTGCTGACATTCAAATAATGGAGGTCTATGGCGCCTGAGGCAGAAAGGTCCATAAAAGTCCACAAAAAACGTGTCAATATTCCTCCATACTGCTCGTCCAATGTATTCCAAGTGTCCTGAGTGGGTAGCATCCATAATTTACTCAAAACGAAGTCATTTAGAATGTTTTTAGAGCATAAACAGTAGTGTATAGGATTTCCTGAAAGCGCGCGCCTGCACGTTCACGACGCTACGGAAGCCGGCAGACCAAACCAGATGAAAGTGCGCATTCAGCGTCTGCTCTTCCAATAATGCAAGCGTAGAAGAAGAAATGTGCTGTTTACCTGTGCAAAGAAAGAAACAACGAAAGAAAAATGTCTGAGGACTTCAGTGTTGAGGAAGAGCATGAGTTCTTTGCCGAGCTGAATGCGCTGGTTTGGTCTGCCGGCTTCCGTAGCGTCGTGATCGCGCATGTGCGCGCTTTCAGGAAATCCTATACACTACTGTTTATGCTCTAAAAACATTCTAAATGACTTTGTTTCGAGTAAATTATGGACGCTACCCACTCAGGACACTTGGAATACATTGGACGAGCAGTATGGAGGAATATTGACACGTTTTTTGTGGACTTTTATGGACCTTTCTGCCTCGGGCGCTGGGCACCTCCATTATTTGAATGTCAGCAGACAGCAAGAAGCCTCCCAGATCTCCAGATGCATTTGAGATATCAAAAAAGTACTCCAGAGTGTTGTTCAGCATGGGGGTGAGTAGAAAATGAAGGCTAATCATGTTTTGGGTGTACTATTCCTTTAAGCATAAAAACGAGCATGCATATTTTTGCAAAGGACCAATGAAACTGAAGAATAGTGTCCCTACCAAAGCTGAAATCAAACCTACGCCCTTGCTTGTAACAATACAGGCAGGTAAGACTCTTCTGCTGTCCTTGCCAAGTCTCTCGCCTTTCAGAATCCACTCAGAAGCCAAAACTGTAACTACTACGGTAGATTTGCCATAGCAGCCAGTGGGTGAGTACTTACAGTTTGAGATGACCATGTGGGGGGGAAGGCATGATAACTGCCAGATGTGGATGGACATGTTAGGATCAGCTGCAGTCTTGCATGAGAGTGCTCAGGTCGATCACCGGGTTGTTTTGGTTTAACTGGAGTGGAGTGTGGCACATCATCAAAAGAAGTCTCAATGTTTGCTGTCTCAGTCACTGCAGCAGCAGGATGTTGTGAAATGCCCTAGAAACAAACACTATTATTAATAATAAAAAAAATAATCATGCTATGATTTCATATGAGCAAATAAAAGTTGCAGCATCTCAGAAAGACTTTATGTGGCAATGAATGTCATTCATTTCACTTTTTTAATTTATTTATTTTAAATCATGGATCACATTAGTATTTCCCTGGGTGCTAAAAGTTGAGTTATTATCATCCAGATTTTTTTTTTTATTAACTCCTAAACACTAACAACTTGCAGGCCATCAATGATCACATTGATTGATCACAAAATTAAAATAATGTCCCACTGAGCTGTGGAGCGGGTGTTTACAGATCATATACAAACGTGTGAATTACATAAATGGTTTATAAAGTACATACCTCTGTCCTTAGTTGTGACACCATCGGCACAGCTGTACTCTTTAATAAAGCTCTTCCTTTACAGGTTCGGAAATCATCCGCTGAAAAGTGTTCACTACAGACACGGAGAGATTCCACGTTAAATGTCCTTATATCTTTTCGTAGAGCTATTAGCCACAGATTTAGCCTTTCAGGGTCCTGAAGAGGTAATTTGTGGAAAGTCACGGAACGGCTGTTTCCATACTTGCGCTTCATCTGATTGAAGCATCTAGGATAGGAACACACTCGAACCATCTTATTAATTTCACGACTAAAATCAGTAATCAACAACTTTTTCCAACTCTGAGAGAGACTAACCTCGTGCTCACCTGGCTCAGGGCAGAAAATAAACAAGTGAAAAGCGGAACTTCTTCTTCTACGCTTTAATTATCGGCAGAGCAGACGCCGAATGCGCACTTTCATCTGGTTTGGTCTGCCGCGGTTTCCGTAGAGTCTGTTTATGCTCTAAAAACGACTTCGTTTCGAGTAAATTATGGACGCTACCCACTCAAGACACTTGGATTACATTGGAAGAGTAGTATGGAGGAATATTGACACGTTTTTTGTGGACTTTTATGGAACTTTCTGCCTCGGGCGCCATAGACCTCAATTTTTTGAATGTCAGCAGACAGCAAGAAGCCTCCCAGATCTCCAGATGCATTTGAGATATCAAAAAAGTACTCCAGAGTGTTGTTCAGCATGCGGGTGAGTAGAAAATGAAGGCTAATCATGTTTTGGATGTACTATTCCTTTAACTCCTTATCGGTTGGCGGCGGTCATGCTTTTTTAACTAGTTTGCCAACCGCCATAAAACCTCAGAAGAAGAATGAGCTAATGGCGCATGCGCAGAACGAATGGTGCTTCCGGGATGGATCGGGTAGTGACGTGCCCGTCTGCGTTAGAGAGTTAAGCAGATAGATTTGCCGTCACAGGTCGTAATTATATATTAATAATAACTAACCTCGGCTATATCCCGCGGAGGAGCGGCAGACCTCCTCGGCTCCTCTGTGTTGTGGCGGAGCTTGTTGGAGTCTGTCGGTGTTCTGGGGGCAGTAGGCTCCATAACTCTCCTTTCAGCAGCTGTTCGTTCTGCTTCCTCTTCGTTTTCAATCCACCTCCAATAATTCGGCAGATCTTTTTCCAGTCTATTCAGCACCGATGTACAAGTTCGACAGACTCGTTTGGATTTCCCCGGTGTGATCGAAACCTTCACTCCAACTTTCTGTAATCTTTCTGCCACTGACAGCGGTTTACTTAAACTCTGGAAAAGTTGTGTACAGTGGTGTAGCATACCGTCTCTCCGCATGACTTTTTTGCACAAACGACAACAATCATCCAACTCCATGATCTCAACAATAATAATCCACTGCTCACGTCACGCCCTGGCCCTTTAAACTCCCCCACTAGCTTTCTGCCGCGCTTACTACGTCAGTCAGTTGCGATGTATGGCAGGCCATTTTGACATTTATTAGCGGACTGAATATACGTTCCAGATGTCCCAAATGCATTTCTTCCTAGTCAAAATGAACATTTCAGTTATCTAAAATAACATTCCTCCTATCTAAAATAAACATTTCAGATAGCTGAAATGTAATTCTTACTAGTATAAATGACGTCACATTTCCCATTCATGTGTATTGGGCTTTTACCTCCAGATCTCTAAAATAAAGATTCGTCCTATCCAAAAATGAATTCTGACGAAGATGAATTCTAATTTCAGATCTCCATAATAGTTAATGCTAGTCAAAATTACTATTTCTGATATCAAAAATAAATATAACATTACAGAGACCTAGAAACACAATTTTTGACATCTAAAATATATTTCTACTAGTAGAAATATGATTACAGATATCAACTATTGATAAAGTTATTTTTAGATATCTGAAATGTACATTTTGACTAGGAAGAAATGCATTTGAAACAGCTTAAATATATATTCATTCAAGCTAATAAATGTCAAAAGGGCCAATTTAAATTTGTAAAGGTCTCTAGGTATTTGAACGTTTTTTATTTCTAGTACAATTATATTTTTGGCAGCCTGAAATGTAATTATTGCTAGCAAAATTTTAATTGAGGATAACTATATGTACAATTCTGGCGAGTAGGAATGTGGTTTTCACTAGGAACAATCTTATTTTAGAGATCAACAAATGGAACAATAGAGAGGAGGGCGCTTCTAATAAATGTCAAAACGGCCTGCCATAACTCTCATACAATCTTCATCGGGGCCAGACTAAATTACACATTTAATCTCACATTTAGTGTGGTTTATCTACGGAAGAGGATTAGGGCCACTGAAAAAAAAAAAAAAAAGTAAACTGATTTTTAAAATTTATTTCAGTTTAACATGGGAAAAAGTCAGAATTCTGACTTTTTTCTCAGAATTCTGACTGAATTCTGACAATAAAAAAAGTCAGAATTCTGAGAACAAAAGTCAGAATTCTGAGATTAAAGTCAGAATTCTGAGAAAAAAGTCAGAATTCTGACTTTAATCTCAGAATTCTGAGAAAAAAGTCAGAATTCTGAGAATAAAGTCAGAATTCTGAAAAAAAGTCAGAATTCTGACTTTAATCTCAGAATTCTGAGAAAAAAGTCAGAATTCTGAGAATAAAGTCAGAATTCAGAAAAAAAGTCAGAATTCTGACTTTAATCTCAGAATTCTGAGAAAAAAGTCAGAATTCTGAGAAAAAAGTCAGAATTCGGACTTTTTTCCCATACTATACTGAAATAAAATAAAAAAAAATCAGTTAACTTTTTTTTTTCCCCCTGTGGCCCTAATCCTCTTCCGTATTTATCAGGCTAGCAGATTCCAGAACAGAATCTTTCCCACTGCCACTAGACCGCTGAATATTATCTAAAATGGGTTATAATAAAAACAAACAAAAAACTGAATGTTTGAACTGTAACTATACAGTCATATGTTTACATCACTGTGTTACATCACAAGGTTTCATCACAAGGTTTTTATCACTGCTGCTCACCTTATCAAGGCTGCAGTTGAAAAAATGAAATGACAAAAAAAAATCTGTTCAAGTCTAAGAAGAATTTCTCAGAAGCCATTTTGCTGCAGGTGATAATAAATGTATGCTTTGTGATGATGTTGAATAAAATAAATAATTACTTGATAATGCATGACATGGTTAAAGTTCAGATAAATAAATTCATTCTATATTACTGGAATAAGGCCAACTAGGAGAGATCATCCTGGAACTTTTAAATTCTTTTCTTGCAAATGTTTAAGACTAGATGGGAATTATTCTTAATAATCAATATTATCATTACATGCTGTTAATGTTATAGAACAATTATTATCAAAAATAATGCATACATTTAAAATAAACAGGTGACTCACTTATATGTATATCCTGCTTAGTATGCTATATATATATATATATATACACAGGTGCTGGTCATAAAATTAGAATATCATGAAAAAGTAGATTGATTTCAGTAATTCCATTTAAAAAGTGAAACTTGTATATTATATTCATACATTACATACAAACTCATATATTTCAGATGTTTATTTTGTTTAATTTTGATGATTACAAATGACAACAAATGAAAATCTCAAATTCATCATATCAGAAAATTAGAATATTGTGAAAAGGTTCAAAATTGATGGCCCCTGGTGCCACACTCTAATCAGCTAATTAACTCAAACCACCTGCAAAAGCCTTTAAATGGTCTTTCAGTCTAGTTCTATAGGCTACACAATCATGGGGAAGACTGCTGACTTGACAGTTGTCCAAAAGACGACCATCGACACCTTGCACAAGGAGGGCAAGACACAAAAGGTCATCGCTAAAGAGGCTGGCTGTTCACAGAGCTCAGTGTCCAAGCACATTAATAGAGAGGCGAAGGGAAGGAAAAGATGTGGTCGAAAAAAGTGTACAAGCAAGAGAGATAACCGCACCCTGGAGAGGATTGTGAAACAAAACCCCTTCAAAAATGTGGGGGAGATTCACAAAGAGTGGACTGCAGCTGGAGTGAGTGCTTCAAGAACCACCACACACAGACGTATGAAAGACATGGGTTTCTGCTGTCGCATTCCTTGTGTCAAGCCACTCTTGAACCACAGACAGCGTCAGAAGCGTCTTGCCTGGGCTAAAGAGAAACAGGACTGGACTGCTGGTGAGTGGTCCAAAGTCATGTTCTCTGATGAAAGTAAATTTTGCATTTCCTTTGGAAATCAAGGTCCCAGAGTCTGGAGGAAAAGAAGAGAGGCACTTCATCCACGTTGCTTGAAGTCCAGTGTAAAGTTTCCACAGTCAGTGATGGTTTGGGGTGCCATGTCATCTGCTGGTGTTGGTCCATTGTGTTTTCTGAGGTCCAGGGTCAACGCAGCCACATACCAGGAAGTTTTAGAGCACTTCATGCTTCCTGCAGCTGACCAACTTTTTGGAGATGCAGATTTCATTTTCCAACAGGACTTGGCACCTGCACACAGTGCCAAAGCTACCAGTACCTGGTTGAAGGACCATGGTATCCCTGTTCTTAATTGGCCAGCAAACTCTCCTGACCTTAACCCCATAGAAAATCTATGGGGTATTGTGAAGAAGAAGATGCAATACACCAGACCCAACAATTCAGAAGAGCTAAAAGCCACTATTAGAGCAACCTGGGCTATCATAACACCTGAGCAGTGCCACAGACTGATCGACTCCATGCCACGCCGCATTGCTGCAGTAATACAGGCCAAAGGAGGCCCGACTAAATACTGAGTGCTGTACATGCTCATACTTTTCATGTTCATACTTTTCAGTTGGCCAACATTTCTATAAATCCTTTGTTTTTATTGGTCTTCAGTAATATTCCAATTTTCTGATATGATGAATTTGAGATTTTCATTTGTTGTCATTTGTAATCATCAAAATTAAACAAAATAAACATCTGAAATATATGAGTTTGTATGTAATGTATGAATATAATATACAAGTTTCACTTTTTAAATGGAATTACTGAAATCAATCTACTTTTTCATGATATTCTAATTTTATGACCAGCACCTGTATATATATATATATATATATATATATACATATACAAATATCTGCTAAGTTAAACTATTTTATAGAAAAGGTTACATTATTTCAAGAAATAGAGATTGAATATTTTTGCTATTTATATTAAACAATCAATTTACACAAAAACAATAGATGCCTTATTGTTATTAGCACCATTACAATTATTACACTATTTTCACAGCATGGTTTTAGCAGAAAGGCCATTGATTGTTTTTATATCAGTGAATCCTCGTGTAAATTCAGTCGGCCAAAGCTTTATTTTTCAGACAGAAATATGCTTTTAGTGATTCTGCTGAAATCATAAGAATCAGTTTCAGTTGAATTTATTGAATAAAGTTTTTTATTAGAAGACTTTTTACAGTCAGAGGACATTTAAGCTGCTGCTTTGTTGCTACAGCTTCAGTTTTTGGCAGTTTGTAAGGATAAGAGTTCAAACATTGCCAAGATGGAAGATATCCTGGTGGGGTCAGAGGTCAATGTCCACAAACTGAATGAGGTTCTGTGCCGGGACACTCCATTAAACCTGAAGGTCTAGGATGCGCATGTTTTGCCAAGGCTGGTTAGTTATGGTCTGTGGGACTTCCTGAAGCTTCAGAGATGTTATCCTGATGTCCTGTTCATCCATGAATCCTTCATCTACAGATTCCTCATCCCCCTCCTCTCCATCAGCCTCGCTGGGTAGATAGACGTGAAGCTGAGCTCGCCCTGGATGTCCAGCGGTGTCGGCAGGCTGCGGGCTGCAGCTCAGAAAGCCTGGCTTCTCCACCACAGACGGAGCTTCTTCCTGGGAGGGCGGGGAGCCACGGTGCCGGGGGTCGCCATGCAGCACCTCAGAGCTCAGCACCGGGTTGTCTGAGTGTCGTACGGCCGGTCTTGGCCGGGCAGAGGGCTGGATAGCTCCGGAGAAATTAATCGGTCCGTTCTGCGTCTGGTTTTGGCTGCAGTTCCTGCAGAGTGGCAGGGGGGAGGGCTTGCTTGTGGACAGAGGGGGTAGAGGTCGTATCTGTAAAATGTTGGGGCGATGGCTCCCTGGGAGGCCCTCTGACAGGACGTCCTGACCCGGATCGAAGAGGGACGGCTGGCTGACAGTGAAGAGACAAACCGGACAAACAGTTTCATAATTCCTGCTTTCTCATTCAAATCATCTTATTAAAGTTTGAGGCGATGAACCAACTGATCCAAACTAGAACCTGATCATCTGCAGGAGACCGACCTATGCGGTGCGTTCGAGTGTCGCTCAGATTTCTCCCACTTAAAGCTGCAGATCAGGTTTCAACAGCAATAATTACGGGTCAGCGGTACCTGACCAGCCGCTGGTGGCGTTACTGGTTCAGATAAAGCTGTCAAAC